GATTATGTTTATCTGCAGTTAGTTACACGAATTCAGATATGTAGCTTTAATAAGTTGTACTTACGCAAAATCTGCTTGTAATATTGAGTTTTAAGTAATATGCATTAATAAACAGTACTTTACGCATAAAAAGTGGTTTTTAAGAGTTTTTATCAAATACTTTATAATATAGTATAGATAATTTTCTTATAAAGATAATAGTTAATTATTTGTTAGAACTCGATAATTATTCTAATTATATATTATATTTTTTATATTTTAAAGTGATATGTTTATCTTTTATTTGATTATGTTTATCCGTAGTTAGTTACACGAATTCAAACATAAAGCTTTAATAAGTTGTACTTATGTATAATTTATTTGTAATCTTGAATTTTAAGTAATATGCATCAATATAAAGTACTTTATGCATAAAAAATAGTTTTAAGAGTTTTTGTTAAATAATTTATAATATAGTATAGATAAATTAAGAAAAAAGAAACTCAAATAAAAGATATTTTAATCATTTTTATTATTACATGTTATTCATAAACTAAATTCTATAAATTAACCAAATAAACATGTTTTGTGATGTAGAGTGCACGCCTTAAGCTTCTAGCATCATTCCTGCATTAATGGGGTGAAGGGACAATCTAAAGAACACCAAGGTATTAGTTGCCTTAAGCTGCTAGCACTATTCCTTTACATTAATGTTTTGAAGGAGTGTTGTTTTAGGTAGATGAAATCTAAAGAAGAAGACCAAGGTAGTAGTTATGGTTTGGTTTCTATCATGAATAAAAAATTTCGTTTACTGTTTTGCTCATTTCTGAACTGCTATGTTTTTGATATTGGTTATAATTGAACATAGTATAAAGGCGTGGGCATTTGTTTGATTACACCTGTGCAGTATTAGTTTAAGCTCTGTAGATGTATATACCATCATATACATATTTTTATATATACCGCCAAACCCTAAACTTCCAGATATAACAACGAAAACGACGATAACAATCCAAAATCCATCCAAATGCAATATGTTGTGTTCAATTAGAAACTATAGAAATTAAATTAAACAGGAATAAAAAACGAATATGAACCTGTAAACTGCAATCTTTTCCAGTAGCTGCGATTACGAACGGATACCTCAATTGTGCCCGCACGAGATCTCTCTGCAATGGTGCGAATTAGGGTTTTTGAATCTGTTCTTGAACAAAAAAGTTGGCTAAAGAAAAAAAGAAATAGATTACCTCCTCTAATTCTGGATTGACGCTAATGGATTGAAAATATGTCAAATATATACGCATCTCTAAATTCTGTTGGAGTCGATTATCTCAATCGTAATCTGGAACCGATGAAATCTAATCTGGAACCGATGAAATCGTTTAGGGATGAAATCGTTTAGGAAGGGAATTGGGTTTTTGTTGGCGATGAAATAGGATAGAGATGAAATTTAAGAATTTTTAAGAGTTTTAGTCAAATGTTTTATAAGATAGTATATATATTGTTAAATCAAAAATAAATTACTTTGTTATTAGACCTAAATTAAATTATAATAAAAATTTGAATTAAATAAATTGTATAATAAAAAGAAAACTTTTAAATAGTTAATTTTATATTAATGCTCATATTTTTTTAAAAAAAAATTATGATATCTTCAAATTTATTTTTATTCAAAAATAAAAACAATATATATTTCTCAAAACCACATAAACCGTATTATATTAACAGAGACAAAAAAAAAACGAAGTACTAAAATGATGATGTATCTCGCTATATTGCGCGAATACCCTTATAGTATATATATGTATATATGTGTATGCATGAAAATGAAGGTTCAGATATGTACACATCAAAATTTATAATTCAAATCACGTGCAAGAATTTGGACCAAACATTGCTCATTAATTCCAAACATCAATTCAATTAGTTTACCGTTTTTGGATGAGACCAACAAACGAGTCTAGCTAGTTGTCAAATGATTTGGTTAACCTCAACTTAAAGACTTCCAAATGAACACATTTTCTAGTATGTGATGAAATTTATGCGGCCACCGTCTTCAACGCACCTGGCTTCATCTCTTTCTCAGAAGTCTTGTAAGAAATGGAGCAAGATCCCGCGAACCAGATAAATCCCGAGTTGGTTCATATTATTTATAGCTTGTCAAAAGACATGGGGCTCCCAGGGTTTCATGTTGGCATTCTATATTCATATAATGATGGTGTTGTGAGTTCTGCGAGAAAGATGTCAAGTTTTGGACTAATCTCCACGCGAACTCAACATTTTCTAGCTTCAATCCTTTCAGATGAAGTGTTTGTTGAGAGTTTTCTAAGCGAAAATTCAAAGAGGTTAGCTAAGCGGCATAAGGTTTTCACTCAAGGGCTTGAACAAGATGGCATTACTTGTTTAGCAAGTAACGCATCACTCTATGTTTGGATGGATTTACGAAGGCCATGTGGGATATGGTGGTCGGAGAACTGGTGCTTGGTGGTTGGAGAAAGAGCAACGACAATGTAGGGGTGTCAGAGAAAATAATCGGTGGTATTTCCGACTCGAAAAAAGGGTGTTTTACCGTCACTGATGACTCTATATATATAATATTTGTCGATTAAAATGACTACTTATGAGTAAAATGAGTTACCCAAATTTCTTTAATGCTAAAAAAGGTGTTATAAAACACATAGACAAAGATCAAATTCGTAATTATTTTATTTTACGGACACAAAATGCAAATTCGTATAAAGTAAAAGTACTAAAAATGTAATTTAGTCATAAAAGAATAAGATATAAATATTTGTGCCCATCAATAGAGACGTGGAAAGTGGAAACGCCGCAGATCTGATTGGAAACGTGATAACGACACCTTTTGTTTCTCTACCATTTCCGACAAATATAAGAATCGGATCGTACTATTTGATTAATAAAATGATATTAATAAGGTTTGAATTTGGCTCTGAGATGGAATAAAAGCATTTCAAACTAACTTTATCAAATAAAACTTGTTTTCATTGTAGTTTCAAAATACATATGGTGATACACAATAAATTAATACGGTTATGCACTTCACGAATCTAATTTTTTTTACCCTTCGACGGATAAATAATACGATAGCACGTACCACCGTATGACCTAAGTAGGTCCGTCAATGATTATTAACACGGTGATTTATGTAAATACAAAAACATTTGTAAGTATACGATGATTTTAACAACATTTAATTGATAAGACAAAGTTAAAATAATTATAAAATATTGATAAATACTAATTTACTTTTATTTATTTTAATTTTTATCATGGGTTAATTAATTTGGAGGTCTAGAAGCGTTTGAACCATGTCCAATCGATAAGTTAAAAACTTTTTTCGTTTAATCGTATTTGTATACATCTCCACTAATTTTATAAGATCTTAAAATCAGGGACGGATGGCCATAGCCTTGGCCCCTGGGTTTTTTTTATAGAGTGAAACATCTACAGTCCATTAAGGTTTTAAGTATAAAATTCTTTTGAACCCTTCCAGTATTGCCGATCCAGTTCATTTATGTTCCACCTCTACTTGAAATTGATATGACCTCTTATAACCTTGAAATCCAGGGCATAATCAATTAAGTCGTTAACTTGGTAAATAACTGATATGTTTTCCTCCATATTTTTGTCGATCCGAACATTTTTATATTGACAAACTTAATCCACAATAATTGTCATTTATTGAAACAAAATACAGATTTTATCAAGAGTTAATTACGTGTTTACGTATTATAACTTCAAGTCTCTTTTTAAAATAAATTCATATTGCATCCCTATAATACGTAAATTATAATGCATTCAAGATTTGTATAAAAAATTTAGACAATATGTTATAAATTGTAAATCACAAGACAATAATTCATAACATATAAACTATTCTTTTATTAATATCTAAATAAAGCTTAGGGGCCGTTTACCTAAATGCTTACCCAGTAAGTGATCTCGTTCCTTCAGTTTGTTCTGATTCCGATGAAGGATACTATATTCCGCCTACACAACTACCTTGCTTGGTGGTTCAAAATGGAAGTCTAGGTATCTGCTTAAGTGGTCTGCTCGTACCGTTCCAAAAAGAGCTGCRCTGACAGGCGTATTTGAAAATGTGTTTCCGGGCTCACATAAAAACATTAGAAGTAAACACTATAATTTATTTTTATTGTGTAAGATTGTAGTACATCAAAATGTATCATATGCTACAATTTACCTGGTAAGTTGCGCTTATCCGAGTAAGAGTCGTCACTCTCACTTACCGGGTAAGACTCTTCATTCTTATCATCACTCTTATCAGATAAGATTTTTTGCTCTTGTCATGTTCATCCGGTACCCGAACATTTAAATCTTTAAAAAGAAGAAAGCAAAAACTAATTGTTGTCGGCCATATGAATCCAAAACAATACCCATCCTCCTTGAGACGTGGCGAAATAAATGGCTTCTTTTATTTTATTTTTTGTTTTATAAATTATATATTTAATTTATAAATTATAACATACAAATTTATTAATATTATAAGTCTTGAATTGTGATGAGGTAAATTGTTTGTTTATAAGTAAGAGTTTGGTAAAAGGAAAGCAACCAAACTATCACTGAACAAAAATGTCGACGATCACCGTTCCGGCACATGCTCCTTCCGTCACCGACGACGTTGAGCAGCTCCGTAAAGCCTTTTCAGGTGTCTTTCTATCTCACACTGTTTTTTGTTGATTAGATCTTGTCGATGATATCTACTGAATTTGAACTTGATCTGGTGTCTGTGTGTCTGTGTGTGATCGTTCAGTGTTCTGTTCCATTTTAATCTGTCTATGGATAAATTTCTGAAAGAAACAAGTTTATATAAGTCTGATCTTGTAAGGTTATCCACGAGATCTAGGATCACGCTTTTCATCCGATTTTGTTTCGTTTCATGTGCGTTACTTTTATCTTTGTGTGTGTGGATCGTTCGGTTTTATGTTGCATTTTCAGCTGTCTGTCAGAGAAATTTCTGAAGAAAGAGGTGTATCTGTCATCTATGGCGTTGAAATAAGTCTGATTTGGTCTTCGGAAAGTAATGATGAACCTGATCTTGTAATTTGCTTCAAACAGTAGTCAATCCGTGTGATGTAATGTGATCTGATGATTTCAATTTTACTACATCATATTGAATCAAACGATACTCTCATGTGGATTGAAAAATGTTTTCAGAACTGGATTCTACTAGGGAAATGGATAGAGTGTTGCAACTATTCCGTTGGTTTTTGAGCACCAACCACCATGGACAATGCAAAGATGACTGTTTTCTGTTTTGAACTCTCTTAACTGAGCCGATCTTCTGTCCTCTTTATTTTAAGCTCCTTTTGCTAGAGTAGATTGTATGTTAAGATTTCGACTCCATCTCTGGTTTTACTTCCCTGTTTTCTTATCACTCATTCTTGCCGATTATTCTTGAATCTGTTTCTGACGATGCTCTTAGTTTTCCAAGAAAGAACCTATCAGAGATTCTCATAATTTTTTTTCCTTTGCTGATTAGATGAACCAAAACTTGGGTATGAGCATATATAGAAATTGACCAAAAAGACTAGTGCATCCTTAATGCTCATTTCTCTCTTTATGTGAATCGAATTATCATTGTATAGTGATCAATTTTGTCATCTTGAAGGATGGGGAACAAATGAGGGTTTGCTCATTTCAATTTTAACTCACCGTAATGCTGAACAACGGAAACAAATTCGAGAAATTTATACTTCAACATACAATGAAGATCTCCTTAAATCGCTCGACAAGGAACTCTCGAATGACTTTGAGGTTAATCTTAATCTTACATAGTAAATCTATACCAAACAGGCAAACATCACGATCAGAATTTCTAATATGTTCCCTATTTTCTTGATTTTGTTTAGAGGCTGGTCCATCTTTGGACACTTGATCCAGCTGGACGTGATGCATATTTGGCCAACGAAGCTACAAAAAGATGGACTAGAAGTAATCAGGTTCTTATGGAGATAGCTTGTACCAGATCTTCGCATGATCTGCTTCTGGCAAAGCAAGCTTATCATGCTTGCTATAAGAAATCCATGGAAGAGGATGTTGCCTATCACACAACCGGAGACTTTCGAAAGGTACAACCCTCTTAAAAAACCATGATGCCCATACAAGTAATGCACAGAGAATCACATCGTTGCTCAAATTTCAAAATACATAGTTGTTGTCAAACAATGCAAATGAGTTAGACTTGTAATGTTGTTGTTGTAGCTGTTGTTGCTTCTAGTGAGCAGCTACCGTTATGAGGGAAGTGAAGTGAACATGACACTTGCAAAAACCGAAGCCAAGTTGCTCCACGAGAAGATCTGCGACAAATGTTACAACGACGATGATGTCATCAGAATCCTTGCCACAAGGAGCAAAGTACAGATCAATGCAACACTGAACCAATACAAAAATCTGTTTGGAAACGACATCGACAAGGTACCAGTACAAACTTGTCTTAGTACTTTGTCTTACATCAGCTAAACTTAGGGGATGTTTGGTTTGGTGTGCTTTCCTCCGGATAAAGCTGTCTATATGGATTAATCTATCTAGATTTGGAAGGTTTTTGTTTGGGGAATTTCATAAATGGAATGGCATGTTTTTTTAATTGGGAGAGGCGGGTTTAGAAAAGGTTTGGCTTTCTGCATAAAACTTCCCCTAGAAGCTTACAGAATAAGTCATGTTCTATATCATTAAGTCACTACCAAAAAATCATGTATAGTTGACCGAATAAGTTGTGAGTCACATTAAGCTCGTTAAGTTGCTAACAAACAAACCCTTAAACCTTTTCACTTCAATATATCTTGGAGCCCCATCTATCCCCAAGGGCTCTTATGAAGAGGGATCTGATGGGGCCTCACATATCTGGCTATTTTAAAGCATAATTTGACGGGATGCCTCCACGTATCTGGCTCTTTTTTCAAAAGTAATTTGATGGATTACATATATGTGGTTCTTTTGGAAAAATAATCTAACGGGGTTCCAATATCTCATGCAATTCCGATTTGAAGGATTTAGAAGGTGATTCGGAGGACGAATTCCTTGCATTACTAAGAGCAACCATAGAGTGTTTGACGTACTCTGAGAAGTACTTTGAGAAGGTACTAAGGCTAGCGATCAACAAGCAAGGAACAGATGAAGGTGCATTGACACGGGTTGTTGCTACTCGAGCTGAAGTTGACTTGAAAATCATAAAAGAGGAATACGAAAGGAGGAACAGTGTGCCTTTGGATCGTGCCATTGCCAAGGACACTAGAGGAGATTATGAAGACATGCTCCTCTCTCTCCTCGGCTGCACTGATGCTTAGAACTGCGATTCTGAAAACAGCCACTGGCCATCGCTACGTGTTTTATTTGAGATCGTGTTCTCGTTTGTGAGATAATGCGGATATGTTCCGTATGTGCTTTTCCTGTTGTGTTAATAAACTCGGCCATTTTCTTCCTATATCGGGGATTATGTATGCCCATAAGTTATATATGAGTGTTTGTTTTGAACTTGTGATTGGGATTTTTTTTTTGATTAACCAGGATATTCAACTCGTTATACGAGCCGACTAATATCAGGACGACCACCTGTTTTGCGGGTAGCTCGGAGTCACCGTATTTGAACCTCCATGGCCACAAAAGGATTTTTATCCCTTCTTGGATTTGAACCTGGGACCTCCAGACACTTTTGATTTTTGAAGTCCAATCTCAAACTAATTGGAACCACCCTTGTGGTTGTGTGGTATTTTGGTGTTAAAGAATGTCTATGGCTTCAAGAAAATGATCCCAAATCAATCATCAAGTGATCGGTTTTCTTATTTCCAAACAAATCATAGAGCAATTTCTATTTTTGATTAATTTGTAAACAAATCATTGAACTGTATTAATAATATTCGAGTATCTTACCTGTATAAATATTTTAAATAATATTTTTAATAATGTATGTTGAAAAAATGGCATGTTAAGATGGAAGAATGAGGACACCGAATACCAAATTCGGAAAATGACATGTTAGGATCATGATCAGTGTTTAAAAAGGTTCAACATGGGGAGTTACAGCACACGTTTACAAAACGTGGCTTTTTTCAAAATATAATATTTTTTTAGTTTATTTATTTAGATTTTACATTTTTATAGATGTCTAATCAATTCATAGTTTCATAAATTGATGAATATCACTAACTAACGATTAAAATGAATTTGTAAAATTATATTTCTAAGTTCTATTTTGAATATTTATTTAATTAAAGACTATTTTTATAATAATAATCTATATGATCTTTTTCCTTCAAATATGAATGTAATCTCTTAATATTATTATAGATGAAATAATATATATATATATATATATATATATATATATATATATATATGAGATATAAATTATCATCTTATGCCACGTCTTGAAAAACACCATGCACCATTCTCGCCTTATACCATGCCTAATCTAATTAATTATATAATATCATTATCTAGTTAAATATATTTTTTACTGTCATGATTTGATTGATGACGTGTCCAAATTTAACAATTGAATCGGTTCGACTATGTTACAGTATTAGAGCTTTAAAATGTAACAGTTCATTACATTCAAAAAATTTGCATGACATGTTGAAATTGAGGATTAACAAGTCAAAATAATAATAAAAGTGTTGGATTGATGTTTGAATTCACGTTTAAGGAAATATTATGATTGATCATCATTCACCTACAGATGTAATGTTCCATTCATTATTGTGGTTAAATCAAAGTATTGAGACCATAATACATCAAACTCAATCCTTTTTATCGACCAATGGATGCTTAAAAATATTTTACATTTTAAAAAGAAAACAGAACTTATATTTAAAATACATAAAAAAAAAATCCAACTTAAATAAGACATAAAAACACGACTTTGAAAAAATTAGTTTCACAAAACATGGAATCTGTGACATGACATACCAAGTATTATATATTATATTTGAAAAATAGTTTGGACCCAAAGCCGGCCAAATGGGATTCTAAATATTTTGTTGATAAAAAGAAATAATAAAGTATCACATATAAAATTTTATTTATTGAAAAATATGACAGGTCGGCCAGGCGTATCGGAAAAAAGTTAATTGACCGAGTATGCCTGCAAATTTTAATAGTCCAACCGAGGCACGCCTATTTTTTCAAGAATAGTCGTACAAGTCTAGTTTTCTAGAAGACCGAGTGAACAATTTCTAACAGGTCTCGTTTCTTATCGGGCAAGAAATTCAACTATGACTCTCTTAAGGTAGTTAAATGTCTCGTCATCTAACTAGTAACACGCATGAATGGATTAATGAGATTCCCACTGTCCTTGTCTACTATCAAACGAAACCACAACCAAGGGAATGGGCTTAGCAGAATCTGTGAAGAAAGAAGACCCTATTGAGCGTGGGTTTCAAAAAATTCAAACCACATTATATCATCCCAAAATTACAAAATGTCAAAACCCACACGCAGAATTTGCCTCGAAGCTCACCAATGTGAGGGGTCATTTTTTTGGGGATCAAACCTCGGACCTGTCTTGTATTTGGGCAAAGTCACCCCGCACCTTTGTCAACAAGCTACACCATAGGAGTCGTTAATCAGGGTTGTAGTAGTGTCAAAATCAACCATAGTTGGTCTCTTTTTCCCTGTATAAATAGATCCTTTCTAATTGAGCAGAAATTATCCCAAAATACTCTCTTTTTCCTTACGCAAAGGATCATTGATAGCCATGGTGGTTTTTTATTCTTTGCCACATCTAGGTTTTGGTTTTACAAGTCTGATGCAATAATCAAAGTCTCAAAAATTAACAAACGGAGAACAGTAAATGCAAAAATAGTCATCGGTCGGGCATAAGATGTAATTATACCGGTATTTTTGAAGTTTATAATAGCATGCCAACACATGTTTAAGCACCTGAGTAAATACCATTTCACGAACTAACGCACCGATCTACTACTGTGCACGAAGAACTTCGATCTCAAAGACCAAAGCGGAGTTAGGCTGGATACCCCATGCAGGAAATCCACCAGCACCATAAGCATAGTCAGGTGTGCACTGTAACATTAAATAAAAGCAACAAATTATTCTCTTTGCAAAAAGAATCACAAGAATTTGAAAATATAAAAGCATATGAAATGATATGAAACGTTACCCTTAACCGAGCAACTTCTCCCAATTGCATTCCCAATACACCTTCATCCCAACCTGCAGCGTAAAAGGCACATGCAAGTTAAAAACCGGGCTAAACTACGCGTAACGGTTTCCAAAAACCCTGGCCAATGGCCTAGTGGTATCCAGGTTACAAGTAGATCGCAACCTCCTTGGAGGTTATAGGTTCTAGTCTCACAAAACAGGTACACAATCTAGACAACATCATGTTCTTCACATGTAAATCTATTTCTTATGCTTTCATTTAAGTAACTGTCCAATCCCCGATTAGGTGATTAACATTAAAAGGTAATTCAATTTCCGAGCTTTAACTGTCGCCTTTTAGAGCACTAGTTGCATTCTTTCGCCGATCGCATAGTTAGAGTGGTTGCACTTGACTAACATAGAAAGTCAAGGCTCTAAGAACACAAATTATTCAAAAAGACACTTATCGTATTGCATCTTATTTTATGAACTCGTCCATGATAAAAATAAATAAGATAAAAAGACACATTAAGCCATGGGTTAAGCCTCTAGAAAGCATGTGTCTTGTTGCCACATACTTTCACACCTGTTACGATCTCATCATGCATATTTTCTATCACCTTCACATATATCATGGAGACCTCATTTTTCAAGAGCACTTTACATCCTTTCAATTGATACTTTGTCATATGCCTTCATTTAATTTCACAAATACCATATGCAAATCCAACTTATCTATGAAGCATGAATCCTTGAATATTACTTCTTTATGCTGCAAAAATATTTTTATTCTTTTAGATTTGGCCTATTGTACTCTTCTTTTGCTTACCAATCACCTGATTGTGTCGAGGATAACACTAGATAACCTACTTTCTATATAGATTATGGCTGCCTACTAAATGGGTCTCCAACTCTCCATACCTCTTCAAGAATCCTATCAAGCCCTAATTTTTACCAATTTTCATCTTTCTTGGTGCTTCCTTCACCTCCATTATCATCATAATAATAATCAAAGTTCCTTTACACTCCCTTCACTATTTCCATCAAACAGATTATCAAAATAACCCCTCCATGTTCGCTAATATTATCATTTTCAGGTTCCATCTCCTTTTGGGTGCAACTTTACATCTAACACCATGACTTTTGACAATATCTTCCACTGCGAAGTCTTATGGTGGGTCATTAGAGACTCACAAGGTTGCAGCTTCTAATAGTTAAGATCCGTGCTGAACAGATAATATCAACATCAAGACAGAATCCAAACCTAATTTAACAAAAAGATTATGGCTTGGAGTCTTGAAGAAATTAAATTGTGCCTCTTGAATCCACCTATTCATGATTCATCGTGATATGGCAACACATTTGTTGCTTCAAACTTACGATTAACCAACACGTAATGCAGATGACAACTGTTACTAAGCTCCTATGCTCTCCCACTTTGCAATTATATCTGATAACTAGGTTGTAACTCAAGTTATAAGTAACTACACTTCAGAAAACAGAACATGAACTTCTAACTCTACATCCAAGGTTACATGTTGATGCGAAAACCTGACCAATGGAAAAGTATACGAATTTGAACTTCACATCAACAGAAAATGGGGCATAAAACTTTCACGTGCAAAAATTTGAACTTTGAATGGTCCACTCAAATTGTTTTGAATCATAATAGCATCAAATGTTCAAACACAGAAGCTTTGACAAACCAGAAATTAATATAACTATAAGTATAATCATGAACTAATCGACATTGATTTCTTGCTATATCTAACAACCTTCAAAGCATCTCAAAAAGTCAGAAGATATTTGGATTCAAGAGAGTATGATGAGTCCTACGAAAAACAATCATTTTTGATAGCATCTGTGGAGGTGAATGAATGGAATGAAGAAAAGAAGAGAGGCGGAAGGTGGTTAAGTGGAGTTTGTCGTTGTATCACTCATGAAAACGGAAATCCATATTACTTTACACAACTGATACAAGAATACCGCACAATAAGCACATAGACATAATATACTTGTAACTTCATATCATCACCCAAGATGTATCAAACAGATTATTGCCAAATTGCCAGCTTGAGAATTTCTTCAACTTTTTCTTACAACTGCAAGCAACAAACTTTTCGAATCCAACAACTACTTATATAGTTTAATTTTTTCGTTGAAAATCGTTGAAGATGCTTGTTCTAACCCTAAATACCTTTCCATAACAAGATTACTCCATTCCATAAACTAAAAATGAAGCAAAAGTTTCTTTGATTTGTAGCATTTCTGGACAAGGAGTAGATAGTATAAACCTGACAGTACCATCTGATGATTTTAGCAAGACAAATTATATGAATTCAGCAATAAATTACCTTTAATAACTTGGCCTTGGCCAATTTTGAAGGTGAACGGCTGCTGCCCTGGATCTTTGGTGCTAATATTACAAACAGAGAATTCATTAAACAAAAAATAAATCAAAAGCAGATGAAAATCAAGAACAAATACAGACTAAAATGCTACAACAGTTCTAACCTCCAGAATTTTTGAGACAGATCGCCATTTTTCCCTAAAACCACGATTAAAATTGAAAATTTACAAAATCAGAATAAACCTGAGAGTAGAAATACATGCTAGTAATCGAAATCCACTAACAAAATTCAAAATTTACATCAGAATAAACATCTGAACATATAACTCTCCTAGTAACCAAAAAACTGAGACAGGCCGCAGACTCTCCCCAAACCTCAAGAACAAATATAAAATCGACAAACATAAGAATACAACAATCTACAAGTAAACAAAAATTTTGAGACAGATCTCCAGTATTTCTGTATCGAAGAACAACATCAGAAAATACATAATAATAGTACAAAATCTATTACTAATTAGACACTTCATGTTTGCGTAAAATTAGGGTTTTACGATTCAGGTGAAAGGAGAGATCGGAATTACCATATCCGGTACAATGAACGGTGACATTTTGGCCGGGGACGGGCTTGGGACCGGTTCCGGCTTGGATCACTTCCTTCTCCACTCCCATTTTTTCCGATCTCTTTTGCTTTGTATCTCTTTAAGGGTTTTGTTTTTCTTTTTGCGAGTGACAGTCGATGACTGAGGTGATTTATATAGATAGCACCGACTGGTAACACGTGATAATCACGTGCCACATGATGAAATTGAAAGATTCGAAAAAAATTACAAAAACCACCCTCATAGTTTTGTCAAATTTTATAGGGATCCCCTGATAAAAAAAATTAGTTCCGAGATCTGTTAAATTGAACACTTGCGTTGTAGAGTTTTAAAAGGTTTGAACTTGTGTTTTGAATCAATATTGACTTTTTGTTCTAATCGTTGTCATGCAAGCCAATGTGATGCGAGTTATGGGTATGTCGTTTTTCTAAATGTTTAAACAACTCGATATAGTTTTTTTTTGTCTTTGCAAATGGAAAAAAAGGATTGATCGCATAACTATACTGAAAGATCAATCGATCACGAATGGTTCTAATCCCAATTTCAAGGCTAGAGTTTGAATAGTTGTACCTTTTTTATGACTTGAACAGAGAAGAGGATCCATTAGAATTGCGTTTGTATTCAGTTTTTGTAAAACAAATTGTTAGGTTTCTAAGAAACAATGGAAAAATTAACTTAACTTCTACAACAATATTTTTGGAACTTCAAATGAACACAACATTTTTTATCTGAAGAAAAAAAGTACAAATTACATCAAACTCGAGGTATAGACGAATAAGAAACAACTTAAATTTATTTGAATTCAACAACCGATAAACTTGAATTTTTGAAACCGAAAGGAATGAAAATGTACAAAGAGGAACAACCACGCTTTCTACAAGACGCAGAAATCAAGACCAACTGACAACAAAAACAGAGCAAAGAACCTCAAAAGAAGCAAAAACACAAACAAAAGGCAACTCGAGACCAAAGCTAAACACAAGCACGAAAGAGAAGGCAACCTCAGTCTCTTGTCAAACACCCAAGAAAACTGAAAAGCAGTTTCATTAGGAGAAAACAAACACATAATTATGAACATAAGCCACCTAATCAGAGCCAAAAGTCCACATCTTTGGTCCATAAAACTATCATATACCCTAAAAACCAAATGATAAAAGAGATCCACAACCCACAGTCGTCGTCATTAGCACCAGATTTGAAACCAGAAATAATGATGTTTAAAATAAAATCAGAGTTAGAGATCTAAACCAACGCAATGCTACTCTCACCACCAGGGGGCTTGCGAACTCCACCTAGATAGTCTCTAGATTCTGCTTTTCCATCAGCAAAGATGTTGCTTCCACTCATTTCTCGAAGCTTTGCTGAGCTCAATGGTTTTTCTGCCATTGCTGCAGCCTCGTCTCCTTTGAATATATTGTTTCCAGAAAGCTCCGTGAACTTCTGGCTTGGGATCTTCTTCGCTGTCTTCACGGGTTCTTCAGCATTTGTCTGATAATCCAAGGTAAAATTAGCAACATCAACGGATTTCCTACTTACACTACAACAAAATCGGCTTTATAGGACGTCAAATACATCTAAATGTATGACAAAGTTTATAGGATCAAACAATTGTGCATCCTACGTTAAAGAACAATTAGATATTTTAAAATAAGTTGACAGGACATATTAGCTTTTTCATCTCACAACACTAGTTGTTATGAGATATTTTCTCAAATGATATCATATAAAAACTAATAGAATGATCTATTTCAAAATTACTCAACTTTTATAAAGCAGTCTACTAGGACATTTAGACATATGTGGCGTCAAATAAAGCCTAGTGTTACTGTTATATGATGCAAGATCTGATTAGGTGGAGTTATGAAAATGGGACCCATGAAACAAAGAAATGAGAGCACTGGATGGTTTGAACTTCGAAGTGCTTTCCAGCTACTTGCGGAGTTTCAGATATTACAAGAGGTCCAAGGTCTCATGTGCAAATAAGGAAAAAAAAGAAATTGGTGAAATAATGGTAAAGGAAGTCTTATCTTTTTCAAGATAGTTTGGATTGAAGAAGTGGTTATTATATCAAAACTCGATAGGCAATATTTTCAAGGGTGCAAAAAAGTATGACATACATTGCTCATTTAAATCAATTAGGTACAACTTTTAATGTAAAGGAACTGCTTTCATTTTCAGGATAAGTAGCAGTTATTTCCTTCTTGACTTAAGAGCCATTTTAGAAACCAAACATTAAAGTTCATAAATACACACACACACGATTTGCAGAATCTCAACCACTCGCAGAAAGTGGGGGTGGGGTTCTATTTCTTAAAGATGATGGAGATAAATGACTCACGTTCAAATGGTTTGTAATTGGAGTTTAAATGGTCTTCAAGTTCGGGGTCCTCTCATATTAAAATCAATAAGGTAATGTTGGTGTATAACATGATATATCTGACAGTACAATTGTTTATGTAAAGGAAACAGTAAGACTATCGTTTTCAGAAGTAGCAGTTCTTTCCTTGATGACTTAAGAGCCATTTCAGAAAACAAACATTAAAAATTCATAAAAATATTTATAAGATGGCAGAACCTTCAACCACTTACAGAAAGTGGGTGGGGTTCTATTTTGAAAGATTATGGAAATGAAAACTCAAGTTCAAATGGCTAAGTGGGATTCATATTCAGGGTCATCTCATATTAAACTCTACCATGGGCATAGACAAATTTTGCATATGCCCAAGGACCTAAAGTGTAGATTTTTCCGGATGTTCAAAGTCAAACTTCAAGTTAATGAAACATGCAATGTGCCCATGTAGCTTGTGCCATTTGTGTGTGCATTATATGACAATAATATTAAGCATGTAAGCAAGTACGAGAACTACTTACATTATGTGGAGAAGATTCACCGATGCTTATGCTTTCTCTCAACGCCAATGCACGTGCAGCCAATGGGCGAGGCTGAATTTCAGGAGGTGGGGCGAATATATTATGTCCACTGAGCTCCTTGTTCTTTGCATCTGAAATCTGCTTCTTCAATCTTGCTTCAGATTCACTATCCAATGTACCACTTAGCTCCCTCTGCTTAGCTTCAGAAAGTGCCTTCTTAGGAGACACCGTTTCTTCTTCACCAAATGAAATGTGACTGATCCCAGCAACCGTTTGCTAATGAAAATACAGCTCATCAGAACAAAGTAAACATCTCCCTCTATAATTCAACACAGTATACAAATTTAATTGCCCAAAAAACCAAAGACCCTATACGATTTTTCATGTCAAACAGACGCGTTTTCCAAAAAACATGAACCATTTAGATCTTTTAACCAAAAGAGTAATAACCACAGTTCCCATAACAGTTTGTTCCAACTTTGTAACAAACTTATATTTGAAAATTAGAAAGTTCTGATGGAGTATTTTGTACATTTAGACTGTAAAATAGTTACCTGATACATTCGTAATCCAGTTTTACTAGTTGGGGTAGGGTTTGCAGCATCTGCTTCTTCTACATGATTCTCTGCACCAGCTGCAAATATGCCACTGCCAGTGATCTCCTTTAACTTATATCCTGAAACAGGTTTCCTAGAATGACCAAGAAAAGTTCAAAGTTACATCAAAATTAAGAAATCTGTTCAAAAAGGGTTGCATGCCACTCCACGGTTAACCTATGTTCATGAAAACATCATTGCTTACAACATTTGGTGACACCAGTTGTCAAACAATCATTCCATGAAGCATAAAACACTTCAGATAAGTTGATAAGGGGATCATGATTTGAAATTCCAAACCTGGCTTGCCGGTTAGCACAATAGTTTCAAAACTGAAATGTGAATAACATAAGGAGAGGCCTTAACCCCAATATCAATCACTTCTGCATCAACTGTGTGTTAATTTTTACAAGGGAAGGGGGTACAAGACTTGAACCCCATATCATTTCATTATAAAAATAGCTATCACCTTTGTCACAAATAAGATTAGTTTGAATATATGATAAACCTTCATGATGAAAAAGACTTATAAAAGTAACATTGCAGACAAAATTTTGTTTGGCACTGTAATTGGAAAAAATCCTTTCAGACTGCATCAAGCGTTTAAAAGAACTTAAGGCCAAATCACGAGTTGAGTTAACACTAATTTCAAATCTGACATTAAATATGATGTTCGAATTATTCCATTTTGATCTGTCATAATCTCAAATCCTAAAAACTAGATTGAACACGTTGTAATCATAATTTCAAATTACTAACATCAATTACTTAAGATTTAACAGTGAGAATAAGATCTGCAACGAACACTTTGGTAGCAGATCTTAATAGCAAGTAGCTTTAAACATATTCATACACTATGAAGGGGATTGGAGAAGTCGCTGCTGCAGATCAATTACATGTCCATAAGACCATAACCTAGTTATAAACATGAATATCAATGAAATCGTTGATAATTTGCTTGACAATTTTCATTTACTGCAACAAAAATGTATAAATAAATAACAACAAAAAAATGCCTTTTCAAACAAAAAATAATTTGAAATAAAAAAGATAGATCTCGAACCTTTTGTTCAAGCTCTCGACTTCTTCATCTGTAACCTGACCTCCAAACACAACCTTACTGATCCCATCTGAAGGCTGTGGTCCATTTAATCGGATTTTTTTCAAAAATAAATTCAAAAAAACGAATCAAAAACCAAAAAAAAAAAACTGAAAATCATGAAACAGAAGTATTTTGTGGTAATTTGTAAATACCTGGTGAGAACGAGCAGATGAGCGCGCAGCTGATGCAGCAGAGCCAGTAGCAGGCGAATCAGCAGCAGGATTTTCCGACCAGGTCAACAGATCTGCCGTGGAAGTGTGAGGTTTCCTCACCGGCGTGTTCCTCTCCATTTCCCTTCGCCGGATTCGAGATTGTTCTACACAGTTCTCACCGTCTTTCCAACAAATACACTTCAAAAACACCAAAAAGTGAAAGATCCGATTCTTCGATGCGACGTCGTGCTGTTATGTATACAAATATGATATATATATATATATATATATATATATATATATATTTCTATATGTGTGTGTGTTGGAACTTGAGAGCTACGATTACAAAGTAGCAGTGGTGCCCAAGTGAGCTGCCCCTGTTCTTTAAAAACCCGTTCGAGTGGATTTCAAGTCTTTCTCTCTCTAAAACTCCTACTTTCTCTCTCTATATCTATAACCCTATCTCTAACTATAAAGTCAATTTTACCATTTTAGTCTCCCAAGTTACCCATCACTTTATTTTTCAACACATAAATTATTATATTCCTTTTATAACCCACACGTACTTTAATAAGCAGTATATCCGAAAACGTTACCAATGAAGGAAACTATGTAACCAAACTACGGTATCTTAAACAAAATATCATAACAGTTTCAAAAAATGAAAACATCATGGTTCACGTAAGTGGTTGCCTATAAGGGTGGTGTCTAATTGGTTTGAGTTTGGCTTCAAAGGTCAAAAGCACAGGAGGTCTCAGGTTTAAATTCAATAATGAATAAAAATTCATTGTGGCCGCGAAGGTTCAAATGTTGTGACTCCGGACTATTTGCAAAACAGGTGGTCGTCCTGAAATTAGTCGGCTCGCATATCTGGTTGAATATCCAGGTTAATAAAAAAAATGCATTAAATGAATTTGTAATTGATGCACACATGGTCAAAGAAAGACCCAGTAATTAAGCTAAATTTCTAAAATAAATTTCATGTTAACATGACAAAGACCGAGAATATCATCCAGTAACAGGCATAATAATGATCGAAATTTTATTCGGTAAATATTTATCAAATAAAAGACGTTTACCAACAATCCATTTTGATGACCGATAATATTATCGAACAAGATAAGTTGAAGTGGTGAGTCTTACTGGTAAGCAGGTGCTGTTAAGCTTTTGATAACGTCCCCTTGGTAACTCATGGTTTGGTTTGAACCATGAAATGTGTTTGAACTTAAAAATGTGTAAAAAAAAGGTACAAAATAAAACTTGGGACCACATGTGTAAGATGTATATTTTCGAGGGACCAGAAAGGAAATTAGCAAATAATATTTAATCTCTTTCGATATATGATGAAGAACTAAATTTGAATCTTATTCCGCCTCTAATGGGGATTTCGGGGGAAGCATGTGCAGCTCATTGGAACCGCACGTGACTGTGCCAGATTTGTGTGCCCACCCCACCACCATAAACTAATATAATATTCTATTTTATATTTCCTAAAATCCTCTTCAAAATTATTATTTTTTGCATAAAATTAAAAACAATTGTAAATTAGATTAAAATTTATGCAACAATTGTGGCTTAAATCGCAATTCTTATCCATACTATATTATAAATTATTTGATAAATATTTTTAAAAATCAATTTTTATGTATAAAATATTGCTTATATTGTTTTTTGATGTACATTACTTAAAATTTAAGGTTATAAGTAAATTATACGTAAGTACAACTTATTAAAGCTATATGTTTGAATTTGTATAACTAACTGTAGATAAACATAATCAATTACATGATAAACATCTCATTTTAAATATAAAAAATCGAAAATATAATTAGAATAATTATTATGTTATTTATAACAGAATACTTAATTATTATCCTTATAAAAATTATATTATTAGACCAAAATAAATTACTTCGTTATTAAACTTAAATTAAATTATAATAAAACTTTTTGAATTAAATAAATTATATAAAAAATGAGAATTTTTAAATAATTAATATTGATATATTTTTTTCAATTTTTTATGAATATAAATGTGACGCTTTCTTAAAGTCACATAATACCATATTATATCGACAGAGACAAAAAATAAAACGAAATATCATCTCGATGTATTTCACTATATTCTGGTGCATTATCCAGATACACTTCTAATTTAACAATCAATTGATAAACATGTTTAAATATAAATCAGTTCCCAAATTTATGGCCGATAATCATATAATCTTAAATATAAAGCTTTTTTTTTAACTTATTTCAGTCTGACAATGGTGATAAGTTGTTTTCTGGTATTTTGATAAGAAAAAAAACTGCTTATACCGGTGCCAAACCGGTAATAAGCTATTTTTGATAATTTAATCATTCTTAATTTATGAAAAACTGTTTATTATCAGTTTACAATTTTAACTCTGTTTTATTTAACTCCAGTTTGATACCGTATAAGTTAATAAGCATTTTTACAAAAAAAAACATAAGTTGTTTTAAATAAGCAAATCCCAAACACCCCTTAAATATTTATATATTGTAATTATTTGGGAAAAAAAGAAAGTCTTAAAAAAGTAGCTAAACGTAAGAATAAAGTTAGCCGTTACATAGGCATTATCTACTTGGTTACGTATCGCCAACTGTAACGAAATCCCGTGCATTTTGACTGAAATCCCGTGCATTTAAAATAAAATAAATTATATTAATTTAAAACAATCAGAGAAAAGTAGTACACTACGATTTTAGTCCCTGTACTTTGAGAAAGATTGGGATTTTAGTTCTTATAAATTTTGAATTGCAATTTTAGTCCTTATGATTTGTAATTTATTATTGTTTTCGTCCTTGAGATTAAATATGTTAAAGTTCCTCCATCAATTTAAGGGTGTTTTAGTCTTTTTGATTTATTTTTCTTTTTAATTTATCAAATATATTTTTTGGTATTTTTGTCTTTTGATTTAATAAAACTATATATTTTTATACTATTCCTGCTAAATAAATGTATATATATTATATATTATAAAGTATTTGATAAAAACTCTTAAAAACCATTTTTATGCATAAAGTACTGTGTATTGATGCATATTACTTAAAATTTAAAATTACAAGTAAATATGCATAAATACAACTTATTAAAACTCGATGTTTGAATTGTATAACTAACTGCGGATAAAGATAATCAAATAAAAAATAAATATCTCATTTTAAAATCTAAAATATAATTAGGATAATTATCGAGTTCTGACAAAATAATTAATTATTATCTTTATAAGAAAATTATATTATTAAACCGAATATAAATTATTTCGTTATTGTACCTAAATTAAATTATAATAAACTAATTGAATTAAAAAATTACACAAAAATGAGGAATTTTAAATAGTTATTTTGATAATAATATCGATATATTTTTGTCAAATTTTTATGATATCTTCAAATTTATATTTTATTAAAAAATAAAAACGTCATCGCTTTCTCAAAATCACATAAAACCATACTATATCGACTGAGATAAAGAATAAAATAAAATATTAAAATCAAGATGTATCTCGCTGCATTGCGCGAGTACTCTTCTAGTGATTTTATTAATATGACGTACAATTATTTGGTCTCATAAGTCATTTAATTATGTCAAACAAATGTATGTCTTATATAAACGTGTTACAATAAATTTATAAAGTTATACATCTATTAATATAATCGTATACATTTATTTGGTAAAAATAGCGTAATATAGTTAATTATATGGTCATATGAACACTATCCGTAAAATTCAACACTATCGCTTACTTACCGGGTAAGATTTTATTCACTAAAACGCATCGTATATAACAATTTATCCTGATAAGCGTCTTCACTTACCGGGTAAGACTCTCGATTCTTGCATTCGCTTTTACCAGGTAAGATTCTTAGTCATTGTCATATGCATTCAGTAAAGTAAAATGACTTGTAAACGCTTACCCGGGTAAGCGTTTAGTAAAAGGCACCTAAGTCTAAGAGACAAAAACAATAATAAGTTACAAACCATGGGGACGAAAACAACAATAAATTACGAACCGCATGGATGAAAATCAAATTTTCAAAATTACAAGGACGAAAATCACAATCATTTACAAATCAGTGATAAAAATCTTAGTTTACTCAAACAATTATAAAAAATAATTATGGACTTTTTGGACTACTACAAATAAAAATTATATTTTATAAAGAGGAAAAAATCAACCAAATGGTTTAGTCCCTAAATTTTTTTTAAATAAAAAATTTATTAAAATCTTATCCGGCAAGTAAATGATAGTGTAAGAGCGAGACAAAGACCAAAAGTCTTACCCGGTAAGTGAGGTCGACGACTCTTACCACAGTAAGCACTTACCAGGTAAATTGTTGCATACAATGTCATTTTAGTGAATTAAAATATTACCCGATAAGGAAATGATAGTGTAAAATTTTACCGACAAACACTTACCGGGTAAGTGTTTAGTAAACGGCCCCTAAGTCAGAATGTTGATTTTTACTGATAAACGCTTAACGAATAAGCGTTTAGGTTAGGAACCCTAAATTTTCTGTTTTAACTTGTTCTTGTCAATCGATATTTTCCTTAAAAAATGTTATTTGATTACTAAAAGGCAACATATTTTGATTATCTTATGTTTCTCTAAAACTAATTTTTGAACCCAGTTTAGTATTGGTAATAAACGATTGCTTCCTTTTTAAAACATGAGATCATTTATCCCGGGAAAAAATATAAGGTTGTCATTAAACACACACATACACACACACACACACATATATATATATATATATATATATGAAAACTGAAGCAATACGTACAAAAAGACACGGACTATGATGGTCTTGTCGTTTATTTTTGAGTTAAATAAGGTTGTCGTCCTTGTGGTGTTTTCTTGTGGTCTGAATCTCTCTCTCTCTCTCTCTTTAACGATTGCTATCTTTAACTGCTAAGTACTCTCATACGCCTCTTACAAGAGGACAGTTTGATATTTTATAGGAAAAATGTAACGTTAAATTTTTAGAGAACCAAAACTGAACCTAGACGTCTGCAACGAGAGTACTAAAACTGTCTTATTCATCTTCTTCCAACCATTTATAGGTCTCTTCTTTCCATGAAGACGCACAATAATTAAGCCCCATAAACCACCACTTGTATGCTCTCTCACCACCTTTAGAGTTAAAGCTTTACTTAATGTCTGGCACGCCACCGCCACATCCACCCTCTTAACATCTCTTACCAGACCCATCTGCGAAGATAAACGAACGAACGAACGAACATAAACATTCGTGAACGTTCATTTATTTATGTTCGTTTACTGATGATAATAAATTAAAATTTTAATAATAATTACACACACACACACATATATATATATATATTTGATCCTCACCCTTTAAAAACTCAAGTGATTCGCCACCCACAAGTGGCTTGAGCTCTAGTTCATTCAAGTCTATTCGCTCATGTTTGTTATGTTCGTTTGTTTGTATTCGTTCAGCATTTTAACGAACGAACATAAAATGAACACGAACACAACCATTTCTTAAACAAACAAAAACAAAAGAACTTTGTACGTTCATTATTCGTTTGCTCGGTTAAGTTAAATGAACGAATATGAACAAACCTCCGTTCGTATTCGTTTACAGGCCTAGATGAAAATAGAGTTTCAACAAACCACGTGTATAAAATCTATAACCGACACACTCTTTTGGTGTGTCGAAGACTTGGAAGACGAATAACCCCTCCCAGAGTTTCCTACTTCATACGGCTTGACAATCAACCCCATTTGAATCTACCATATCTATCTAGTTTGAAACCAAACTTCTCATAAGAAAGATAGACATGACGATTCAAGTTAGATCAAGTAGTGTTCGATCGGTTACGTACAAGATATATTTAAAAAAATAAAAGGTTTTTTACAGCTTCAAAAATAATTAATTCCAAATTAATATAAAGGTTTAATGAAGAATGCGGTTACCTATTTTGAAAATAACGGATGTCTGGTCCCCCTATGGGCATACATCTCCCTCACCTAACAATTTTCTCCTCTTTTAATTATGCAATAAAATCTTATTAAATATTATTAATTACATGAAAAAATAATTTACTTTAACTTGATTCTTATTTTTACTAACGTACTTTTACAACTTCCATTTTGGTACCTAAGATGTAAAGTTTTAATTATTTAAGTACCTGAGTAAAATTTTACATATTAGGTATCAAAATGGAAGTTTTGAAAGTACGTTATTCAAAATAGGAATCAAATTAAAGTACGTTACTTTTTCATGCAATTTGTTCTTTTAGTTATGCAATAAACTTCTATCTATTTAATTTAATGTATTTTAGTAAATATTGTAAGTTATGTCGGTTGTGAGTGATATCAACCACTAATATATGATATATCACATATTGAAAAATGAAAGAAAATATATTTTACTTTTGAAATGGTTTTATTTTTTGTGTTTCAAGATGGTTTTAATTATTAAAACTAAATCAATAAGAAGGGAAAAGAATTAGAATAAAGACAGTTAATATTTTGGTCTCAGTTTATTCTTTAAGACGTGCTTATTCGAATAAGATCTACCGTATGCCTTCGGTTTAGTTTGCTTATTTTAAGAAGTACAAGAATATAAGAAGGTCGATAATATATATATATATATATATATATATGTGGTAAAAAAGCGACAACTTCAGTTATTTCTAGTTTTTTCTTGTACTCGTACGTTGTTGTAGCTGCCCCATGTTTCATAAAGACACGTCTTAAAAGACATTTTCATGTTCAAAAACTGTCTTTCGGTGTGGAAATAACTAATGTGGTGGGTAATCTCCGAGTTTAGAGTCTTCCATGTGGAACTGCCACCTAACCTTCTCATTCAAGTACTATATCTTATTATCAACAATAAAAAACAACACATAACTTATTTTATCAGCTTTATGATTATTAAATATTTCTAATTAGGTAACCTAGTTTTTTTGTTCATCGTAAAGAGAATCTAATAATGACTGTAATACTACGTCCCTTTACCTTCGCTAACCAGATATCATTTTATAACCTTACTGAAGGTTGTTGGATCGACTTTTTATAGTATTATATTTGAAAGAGTAAACTTACTTTTGAATTTTCTAGTTGCTAAGAATCAAAAGCAGATAACAAATCATGTTTAAATCTATAAATTAATCTGTGTTAGTTAATGTGGTCCTCCTCAATTATACGCTTTTGAAGCATCAAATCTAACATTGGATTAGTGGAGATGGTAGCATCATTAGATAAAAAAAAAAAAAATACATTTGGCTTATAATATTCAATCAGATATTATATTGGTATCTGACATGTTAAACTCATCATTGTACTTATCCCATTAAGAACTTATAACAATTACAAAATTTTGTACGCTCAATTATAATTCAAATAATAGTTTCAAATATAGAAAATTTAAAGTTTTTTTCTCTTCATATTTCTATGAAATACGATAACTATATACAAAATTTTTCGTCAGAGAAATCTCGTCATAGAAAGATTAAGAAAAAGTAAAAAAAAAAAAAAAGCACATAAACTCACAAACAAAAAATTAGCAGCGTTCGAAGAATTCAACTTTCATAACCTAGAAAATATTGCAAATTGTTTGAATATTGACAATGAGCGTAATTGTCTACGTTATATAGAATTCGAACAACACAGTAAGTAGTTAGAATGGATTTCGTCGTTAAGGGAGTCCCCTACCACCATAATATAGTTGCTACGATGTGTAATTCTTTTACGGTTCTTAATATAGTTGATACATAATTTGCGGAGAATCAAAGTGTAAAAAAGTTTTTGAATTAGGTTCGTAAGTGCAGGGACCAAATCTTGAAAATTGATATTGGTACTTGGACTAATTTACATATTTGATCCCTGTACTTACGGACCTGATTCTTAAACTATATTTTTACACTTGAACTCCTCTGCAAATTACGGACCTTCTAATTGCAGACCTAGTGACATTTTGGGAGAGAAATGACTAAAAGATGAAACCAACATCTGAAATTAACTATTTTAATTAATTTTCCATTTTAATATCATATATAAAATTCTTTTTAAAACAAAAAATTGTCATATTGTTTTTCTATAAAATACGTAAACATGTCTATTGCATGTTGCCGTAACATGTTCAACTGTCTGTGTCTCCTCCCCTAATCCCCCATGCCATAAGCATTTCGAAAGTCAGTTGTACAGGAACATACAACGTTTTCGATCATTTAAATTTCTGAATAAAAAGCAGTCATATATTCAATTTATATATTTTAAAATAAATAAAATTCAAAGTGATTATTTTTTTAAAAAATCGGGTCGGGTGGGTTATTGAACCGGGTCGGGCTTAGCAAGCTATATTTAATCACTATCCCTCATACAATTTTTTAAATATTTGGCTGGCAATTATTCGAACACGTGGCAACATGCAACTCTATTTTTATTTTTTTATTATATGTTTTATTTTTGTAAATACACGGCGACGGACCACTCCGTCGATGGCGAACAAAATGGCGACGATGGCACCAGGCTACCTATCGCTAGCTCCGGTAGCGAGTCGTCTCAGTTGTTATTCTTCGTCGACTTCTGGTTTCTTTAAACCTCTATCGTCGATGACCAATTCACATTTTTACCGGAATTTCGCTGCGAAAATTCGTGCCTCGTCTGTAACCGCCACCGTGGAAACCAAGCCGGTATGTAGCTACATCTCTGTTTTTTTTTTTGTGCGGATGTTAGTTGTGATTTAAAGGATTACAGTATGAAGTGTTCATTTTGAGGGCTGTAAATTTTCATGCTGTGACAAGAGGATAACAAATGGATTTGTTAAATTAGAGATTGGATATAATTGTAGGGTTGAATTGGAGTGTTGGCGACCCCCCATATGATTAAACTTTTACTTCCTGTTTGGTTCCTTTAATTCTTAGACTCAATATTGACAATTACTTCGGTATTATGCATCCATTTAGTGAGTTGTTCAATTGGTATTCGTTGTGATCATAATAGCTAGATAAGTCTATTTGTTGTTTCAGTTGTTGCGGAGGAAATTGGGCAGGTATGACCACGATGGCACGATGATCTGAAGCGCGTAGACTATACTGATTTTTAGGTTACTAGCTAGGCATAATATATTGAACGAATACCACAAGTTATTTTGTTATTTATGTATATTAATTTTGGAGGTAAATATGAAGTCCATTTGATTTTGAAGGAATCCAATGGAGTTTTTGGTATTAGATAGAATAATCACCTAGCATTACCAATATTACAAAGTTAATGGGTGTACTCATGCATGTGGTTTTAGAGCTTCATCACTTCCTTATGATGTCTATGTAAGAATATTATTATGGTGACCACCTCGCAAAAGGGGTTTGTTGCCTAACAAGTTTAAATGGTTTATGAGGGTCATTGATATTGACCACTCAGATTCAGGTCCCGAGTGGTATATTGAGAGGAGACTGAGTGGTGAGACGGTCTTCAAGGTTACCTGCAATTGTTTTGCACTTACTAGGTTTGGTTTCACTTCTCAATTAACAAGCCCAGGGATCACAGACGAGATCGAACCTAGTGTCACCTGGTGGCTGATCATGGTGTTTGTATCTGTATAATGATCAGAATATAATTGCAATGCTGTGAAGATGGTAATATTTTTTTCATACAGCATTAAACATTTTTATCAGAAAAGTAACAAGTTCTGACCGCAAAGAAGTGATTTTGAAATTTTAGACTAGTACCACCTTCTTCTCTACCGTTCTGTATGCTGCTTCTTCAGAATCTGCATGATGATTATTTTTGTGGGCAGGGTAAGGTGAAACTGCTAGACAGGATACCAAATGAACAGATCTCGTTAACGTAAATGGTTCATGTATTATGCCCCATTGTTGCATGCAGAGATGTCAAAATAGTATGCTTTTTTGCTGCAGACTAACAAATTGATCTTGATTCATTAAGTAAATGATGTGAATGTCATTAGCAATTCAGAATCCAGTTTGGTTCATGATTGTATTGGCGAATCATTCTTGTTTTGTCTAATTGATTCGTATAGTACATTTATATGGTTATCTAATTACCCGTGATTTCTTACTTTAAATTGTGTTTTGTGTGTGTGTGTGGGTTTGTGGGTTTTGTGTAGAAGTCACTAATCCTGAACTTATTGCTAGCCCCATGAATAGGAACTTTTTTCTTCCTTACATTGGCATTTGGTAAAGTCATAATGAATGACTAATGGGACAACCACACTTGAGAGTAGTACAAGTGTATTTGATGCATAATTCACTAGAATGATTGCTTTTGGTCTTTATGTGTATACATGTTATATAAAGTACTTTAGAAAAAAGTTGAAGCAAGGCTACTAATCGATTCTCGATTCATGAAAATACATATAAACCATTCTTGAGGTTCATGGATTGACAACTATAGATTTATGAATCCTGCAAATTGGATATTATTTGAACCTAACTGTAAGCAGTTAGGTCCATTGAAGCCACTTGATATATTTAGTGTGGTGATGAATTCTTGCTTTATCCTTTTCGAACCTGATAATTTTCTCATATAGGTTGCCTGTTATTTAACAAGGAACCCAGGTGTAATTCTAAAAGTTAAGATTTTCCATGATGGTGATGGACACTTGACATTATTTTGTGGACCCTCTCTCTCAACTCATCGACATCTACGGAAATGGAACCATTAGGTGGAATGAACAAAAGTATGCAAATAGGGTCAAGTGACATGATAACACTGGTGACAGAATATGGAAGAAATGGATTATATATGTTGAAAATAAGCATGCCCGGTATTGGAGCAATCAGTATTCAGTAGATTCACATGATGATTGACGTTAATTTTATGAAGTCGATAAAATTTGATTGATCTCAACTTTATAAGTTATGTAAAAGAAAGCATCAGCGTAAGAATGCACATATAGGTTTTGACAAAGATGGGAAGAATGCAACAGTAGTCATTTAATGAATAGTGAGAGAACATCTCAGCTCCAATTATACATGCCGTAGGTTGAATGCAACAGTAGTCATATAGGTTTCCTTCCCATTATCCCTTGCTGGTATCTTATACTGCATTGTTTTATTCTCAAACTTGTTTACTTTGTATCAGGGAACCGATGTGAATGAAAATGAGGCAAAGGCAAAGAAACAGGTACTGGCTTGCCCCATTTGTTATGACACGTTAATATGGAATGGTGATCCAGTTTTCTCAGTGTAAGTTACTTCTATTGTCATGAATGGAAGATAGTTCCTTTTCATTAGCCAATTCGACTATTTTATATTTTTTCTCCTGTTTTGTATAACCATTGGTTTTGCCTACTTTGAAATTTAATGTTATTCTTCTGTGAAGTAGCACGCTAATTCTTTTCGTTCATATTTGCTGCAGAGATACTACCCCTCGCTCTACTCTAAAATGCAGCACCTGTAAAAAGGCCTACGGTGGTAATGGAACACATCTTGATCTAACAGTAGGTAGTGGTTCCAAGAAATATGGTGAATATATGCCAGCTTCTTCTGAGCTTTTCAGGTACCGAAATCACTTACCTGGCCTTCATGAACCTCCATCAGTAAAATCCTGGACCATAGGCGAACCTTAATCTGAATAACTTTTGGAAGTCTTCTGGTTTTTGGGAATAGTGAGACAGGGTTGTTGCAACATGAGGTTGTAGTTTCTAGTTGGTAAGGATTAGACTTGACAATTGGGTACCCACGGGTAACCAATTACAGGTAACTTGTGGTGGCCGGTGGGTGATTTATCCAATTAATTTCGTATATGAGATGGTGTACCAGTGAACCCATGAATCCGGGTAATTTATAACTACACTTGTACTTCACAAACCAAAACCTTAACATTGTTAAAAATATAGAAACATATAACCAACATAACGAAGTACTTGACAAATGCCAAAAACATTGTTTGGAATATCTCCATAACATCACAAGAACATGATTGTGCTAGAAGATGAGGTCACCAATGAAGGAATATATTCAATTTATAAGATATTGAAAAGAATTTGCTATAATGAAAAGTATCAAACTCCCCCTGTTGCCAACTTGTTGAAGATGTATGCTTTTAGTTGCTTAAAGTATATGTCAAAGATATGCACTTTTGATTTCTCGAAGAATATCTATAAGATGTATGCTTTTAATTGCTTAAAAGGATTGTTTTTAATTTTCTAATTGATTAAACATAAAAAAAATCTTTCTTAGATGCTCCATTCACATACTAAGTGTTCTTACTAAGAAATATTTTAGATAAAAGGACCAATCTACCATGTCCAATGTGACCTAAAGGTCTCAGGGTTGATGCCCATTAGGTACTGTCAGTTCCTTCGCCCATTGACCTAAAGGCCTAAAATTTGTTCAGTATGTCCATGGAGAGGGTGTTTTGCATGAATCTTGTGGACTAGTTGGGCGGAGGGTGCCGGATACAAATTCGGAAAAAGTCAATATCATTTCTGTAGCTATGAACGTTATGCATTTGCTGATACAGGTTTCCTCTAGTGTCATTCCTGTATGAGAGGGGTTGGCGACAGGGTTTTTCACTATGGGGTGGTTTCCCGGGCCCAGAGAAAGAGGTGATATGCCCTCCCCTTTGGCTTTTGATGTTTTGAATGATGTTCCTAGAGAGTTTGCTGAACATATTTACTGCAGAAAAGTCTTTAAGTTAAATCTACTGGCAGCATTTGTCGTAATACCACAAGGCTTCTGCGTCAAATTACGACTCCGAATAGTTAATATTCGGATTCGATGACCAAACATATTCACTCTGAAACTAAGAAGAACTCCTATATTTATAGATCATCATTAGGAACAAATAAGAACCAAGAAAATTCCAACAAAGAAAACTTTTTGTTATGCGTTTGAAGATATAAACTATGTATGGCTTTCAAAAAGAAACTTTATCCAACTATGCATGATTTTGTTATCAGAAGTCGATATAACCATATATGTGTGTGTGTATATATATATATATATATATATAAATGTATGTATGTATATAATGGTTGGAAATTTGATCTTGATATATATCTGTCCAGTTTGAACTGATGAAAGATTATCTTAAGCCAATCATTGGAGGAAGCATTATTGATGCTAGTTGTGCTAGTGGGATGTTCTCGAGGCTTTTTGCAAAGAGTGGGCTGTTTTCTCTCGTTGTTGCTCTAGATTTTTCAGAGACCATGTTAAAGCAGTGTTATGACTACATCAACCAGGATCAAAACATATCTAAAGAGTAAAAACTGATTTCCATTTATTACTTCTGCAAATTCTACAATAAGCTTTTATATCATGCTGATCAATTTACATCAGTTGAGATGTATTCTCTGATGAAAACATGTATTTTTAGGAACTTAATCTTGGTTAGAGCTGATATTGCACGACTTCCATTCGCTTCAAGTTCTGTAGATGCTGTGCATGCTGGTGCAGCTCTACACTGTTGGCCCTCACCCTCTGCTGGTGTAAGCATTCTGTAAATATCTTTTCCCCCTCTTTAGATTTCTGGACATGTCTTCTGTGTACGCCATATGTTAGAAAAGCTTTGCTTGGAATTCACTGAAAGTCGTTTATCACTTTCAGATTGAAGTATTTCGACGGTACAATCGAAATCTCAATCGGATAAAATTCAGTGATTGACAGAACTTCGAATCCAAAATGTTATGAATCTGTGTACCTCTCTCTCTCTACGAAAAAAATGACCAATTCGAAGATTGAAAAAGTGCGAAAACTATCAAAAACGGCAGTTTTTTGCACCCAAAACTGGGTTTAAAATCTAAAATTTGGATTTCTGATGCATTTTCCACAAAGCAATATTACCCGAATAAAAAATTTCCAAGCTGACCTGGCAGCTCGACCCCAGCCGCCACCGGGGGCGCTGCCCCCGGACCCCGTCATTTAGGGGCGAAGCCCCTAAATCAAAATAAACTCAAACAAGTGTGCACTCCGCACCTTCCTTACTTGTTCGATATTTATCATAATTACATTGGTCAATAAATTAATCCCATTACACTTATGATATTAGTGATACAAATCACCAACACCATATTCGTGTGATATTGGTTTAGCGACTTTTTACGGGTTGAATCTTTAGAACTTTTCTAGAATAATAGTTTCAGGAAGTTCTGAAGTACCTGTTTGCCTATTGAAATAGTTAGGAAAAGTAATGAAGGATATTTTGACATTTCATAAATAGTCAAATAATTTCCCAAAGTGCATATGTTACAATTTTCATGGGATATTTGGTTGATTTTCTATTTTATGGATAAAGTTGTCCGTGTAGATTGTGAGGGTTTTTTCATAGATGGAAAGAACTTGTTTTTTAATTGGGAGGGGCATGTTCGAAAAAAACTTGGCTTTTTGTATAAAGCTCCCTTAAAAGCTTACTGAATAAGTCACTTTCTATACCATTAAGCCACTACCAAACAGTTATGTATAGCTGACCGAATAAACTACGAATCTCACCAAGATCATTAAGCTTCTAACAAACAGTCCCTTAGTTACTTTATTGTCAATTTGGCTGGTGTATCTTAGTTATATGGCTTTTTGTATAACAGGTAGCTGAAATAAGTCGAATTCTTCGACCAGGAGGGGTTTTTGTTGCCACCACCTTCATAGTAGACGGTCCTTATTCATTTATCCCCTTTTTATCACCTATACGCCAGGTACGCATTCAGCTTGATCTCCCTAACACACCTGTTATGGTTAAATTTAGGTAAACAGAAAATAAACTGTGATCAAACCGAATTATTCTTAGGAATTCTTTCTTTTTCTTTCGGGATGAAGTTAGATTCTTGATTTTGTAATTGTAGAGTATTGGGCAGATATCCGGGAGCCGCGTGTACCTATCTGAGCGTGAACTAAAAGATCTGTGCTCAACTTGTGGACTGGTAGACTATACGTGTGTAAGAAACAGACGATTCGTTATGATCTCTGCCCGAAAACCCACCTGAAGAACATGCCCAACCGCATCGGTAGTTCTGTAACAATTGTTGTACATGATGATTCATTCACAAGAACTTGATAGATTATTGTAAATGTAAGCAAAACTTCAAATGTAGATTCTAAACTTCAAGAAGTACAGCATTGCCATTTAATTTGTAAGGGTTGTTTGTCAGTTGCAGAATGGTTTGGTGTAGAATGATTAAGTGATCAGAATAATTAAGAGACTTTCATGATATAGTGCAAAATGAAATATAATTGTTTGGTAATTGTTTACAATGAAATCAGGATACTTAATGGTTAAGGAAGGCTCAGGATACAAAATCATTCAGAGGTTTTTAGAACCATTAAGATAAAATATTGAACTTAAAAAAAAGATATTTAAATAAAAAATCTGTCCTACATGTGCAGAAATATACCAAAAATGAAGTTCTCCATTCTGTACCACCATTGAACCATTTTCTATACCTGAATGCTATGAACCATATTCGTCATCGTGGACTGGGTTCGAGCCATGTTAACCACTATCTCGAACCCTTACAAAAACCCACCATGGCTCGTCTTCTATACTTAAACCACCATATTTGCAAATGTCAATTGTCTATAAAGCAACATCTTCTCATCACTTTCATCTAACCCAATTGAATCCTCTCCACCACCATACTCCATCTCCATACTCATTTGATCTTTGTCGTAAAAATCATCGTCAAATTTGTACCTCGGTTTCCTCTCTCGCTCCTCCGACTCCATCGTTTCCATCTCGGCTTCAATAAGAGCTTCCATCCGGGCCCGTTCCCTGTCTCTTGGGTACGTTCGATACAGAAACGAGTAGATGAAACAACACAATGCCATCGGAACCCCGATCGAAACGTAGAGTGCTTTCGCCAATGATCTCGCGTTACCTCGGTCCGTTGCGATGCTTTCGGAACCGTCTTCAACGGGTACGAAACCGTAAACATGTTGAGCCAGTATACCGACGATCGGAGGAGCGAATGACGAGAGAATCGACTCAAATGATCGATCTAATGCGTAAATGCTCGTTCGTGATTTCTCGGGTACAATCTCTGCAAAAATAGGACTGTAGACACCAGGTTACCACAAATTTTTACAAGCCAATCATATTTCATTGAATTACATCCCTTGAGCAAATTAAATTGGATAATTGGATTGGATCGGATCCAAATCAATATCTAAATTGGATCCAATCCATCACCCACTAGGTCGGTTGTCCAAAGTTAATTGGATCAGATCGTTTATCAAAACCCAATATCCATGGATGATTGGATCAGATCGGTTATGCGCGGATTCATTGAATGTGAACCGATGAACACCCGATATGATTTGATATGAAAATACAACGACAAGAGATTGAGTTAAGAACGTTACTTGTTTGTGGCCGGAGCATTCCACGAAATGAAGAAACCCGTAACGAACAACACAAATGCGTGCGCAAACAAAGCCGATGGATCATCCTTCAATGCCAGCAAAAGCAACGCCCCTAAAGGAATAGCGGACGCGGAGCTAATCTGCGCTAAAAGGATCCTCCCCGAACTCGGAAACTGTTTCGACAAAAGATCGCCAACCCGACCCCCAAATAAACCCCCGAGTGAATTACCGAGCACAAATAAAGATATCAAGAAAGCGGTCTTCTTATGAGAGAACCCAGTGAGTTCCAACCACATTGGCGCAAATGACAATGCCGACCATGGAAACGAACCAGTGACACCCTGAGCTACGATAATTTGAAAAGACTGAACCTTTACCACCGATTTCGCTTCCTGCATCAAATCTTTGATTTCCGACCATAAAGATCGACTCTTTACGACGTTTTCAGGTTCTATGCCTCTTGAAAAACGTGGGTCATCAGCAAAAAGGCGAACCAAGATCCCCACAACGACACTGATGATTCCCACAAGATGAAACGCAATTCGCCAACCGGCGATCCCCATGAACGTGGTAGATGCGATCAATAACGCAAGGAGTCCACCGATGATCGAGCCAAGGTTGCTAGTTAGCTGCAGCCACCCAAAAGCCGTACCACGGTTTTCATCGTTGGTTGCATCGGCTACTAAAGATTGGATGGCCGGTGCAACTATCGCAAGACCAATACCGTTCAACGCTCTGGATATTGCAACCTGAAAAAAGAAAAAAAGGCATGAGACATGAACAATTTGATGAAAAACACATGATAATATCAAGAAATTAAACAACTTAAAAGCGAAAAATGGAGTAATTAACCTGAAAAAACGAAGAAGAGAAGGCAACGAGAAAAGTGGCAGCGGCCCAGAGGAAAGCACCGTAAGCTATGATGTGAGCACGGTTATGGCGCACCGCCAAATAGGCGGCGAGAGGGAAGCAAGACGCCTGAACCATGGATCGGAAAAGGGTTAATGAACCCAAACGGGTCGGGTCAGCGTGGAGTTCTTCACCGACTTCCTTGTAAACTCCCGGTAACAATGACTCATCGGCTCTTTCCATAATTCCGGCGAGGTTGACTAGAATCAGCGTCACAGTCTCCGGCGTCATCGCTTGATGTTTTTTCAGAATTCTTTAATTATGCAAAGAAACCCCACAAATCGGAGGGTTTTGAGCAGTGCATTCGAAGCGCTGGACGGAGAAATTAAGGAAATCGAAGGGGATTGAAGTTTTTCTTGACGGTGTTTGTAACGTTGACTAGAAAATGGTTGACTGATTCATCCAAAACGCCATTGTCTCCGATTGACCCTTTCTTGCCAAGAAATTTCTAAATTTAAAACCCCAAATTGTAGCTTTCTTTATTAAAATGATTTAAAAAATATTTTGTAATTTTATAATTCTACTAAGATATCGTTAAAGGTGCATTTGATATACATAACGTAATTAATATAAAAACTTTTTTTTATTAATCTAGATATCTAATCCGTTATGCGAGTCGACTAATTTCAGGGCAACCACCTGCTTTACAGGTAACCCAAAGTCACCGCATTTGAATCTATGTGACAATAAGAGGATTTTTGTTCCTTCTTGGATTTGAACCTACGACCTCCTGGTACTTATTACCATTGGAGCCAAACAAAATAAATGGGAATAAGGGCATTGAGGACGGGATGAAGATAACCAAGTTGGTAAAAAATGCAATTTTCTATCATGAAAATAAGTGAAAAACGAATATGATAGGTTAGGTAATATCGGTAAATATTAAACTATAGATATAAATTTTTAAACCTACTATCGTTATTTAATCGGTTTATTTTATTATAGTCGTCCGTCATGTCCTATCAAGCATACCCTAAATAAAAATCAGGGGATTAATCAAACCAAAACCACCAAAAAGGTTGACAACTATGACTAAGTTTTTCCAAATGTCAAAAGTATCAGTAAGTCTCAGGTTCAAATCCAAGGAGGAATAAAAATATTCTTTTGGCCATAGAGGTTCAAATACGGTGACTCCGGGCTATCGGAAAAGCCGGTGATCGTCCTGGAATTAGTCGGCTCGTATAACGGGTTGAATATACAGGTTAATAAAAATCTTCTTTTTTCATCCCTGTAGTTTTTATTTTTTCTTCCATTTTTGTCCCTCCATCCAACTCTGTTAGAAACAATTGTTAAAAATCCAAAAAGTGTTTTTGAGAAATTACATATTTAGTCCTTGTGGTATATAGAGTTTTAAATATTTATCCTCAAATTTCATTTATTATTTTTTCTTTCTTCATTATATTCCAATACGCACTAAATATGTAATTTTTCAAAAACATTTTTTGTATTTTTAACGACTAGTTCTAACAGAGTTGGATGAAATGACAAAAATAAAAACCACACGGATGAAAAAAAACAGTTATTAAATACTAGGGATGGAAATCGTTATAAAGATCAAATTACAGGAACGAAAATCATAGTTTACTCTATAAAACATTAAGGGACTGTTTACTTGCGGATTTATTAGGCTTATTGGTCTATCTGGCTTATTCGCACAGCTCATTTGAGTTGTTTACTTACGACTTATTCGCACAAAACATGACTTAATCGCACAGATAGAAATAGTGTGTTGTCCCCATTCAGCCACAAAAATGACACACATACCCCTTATTTAAAGCACCACCTTCTTCCGACGATGAGAAACCTCATCGTCGGCCTCTTTATAATTTTTTGTTTTGATGTTCAAATAATCAATATTGAGAGGTAAATCGATCACTTATGTTATTTAGACTGTTGGTTCAGATAAAAAAAGTAAATAACAACAATATTTTATCCACACAGATAAATTTATCCATACATAACTTAATAAAAAATTTGATAAACAACACCTAACCCATTAATCCCAATTGGCAACTTCCAACTCCCAATTCCCAAGTGTTATATTAATTGTAGAATAAATGTGAAGTCCATCCAAATGAGGCCCACTGGACTTTTCTTTTGTTAACGCAGCCCATTTAATTTTCTTTGGAAAAATAAAAGGATTTTACAAGAAAAAAATTCGAGTAAAATTAAAACGCAAATAGTTAAAAATCATGTTTTTTTATTAACGTGGATATCCAACCCGTTATCCAAATCGACTAATCACAGAACAACCACTTGTTTTGTCACTAGCGCAGAGTCACTGTATTTGAACCTCCGTGGCCACAAGATGATTTTTGTTCCTTTTTGGATTTGAACATGGGACCTCCAGACACTTTTGACCTTTGGAGTCAAGCTCAAACCAATGAGGCACCACCCTTGTGGTTTTGGTATATGGTCTAAAATCTTTCCATTGGTTCAGTGGAATCGTTAAGACCTCCCATCAGTTCTATTAATATTATAAGACGACCATCTTTTACTGGTATCATTCTAAAAGTACTGATATCATATGTCTTTACTGGTTTTTGCATTTCAGTTAAAGAAACAAAGAGACTATGCTAATTTTGTGTGCTAATCTAACTGTTTTAACTTTTTATCATGTTTATTCTTCGTAATCTGATATAAACCCTTTTTAAATGTATTATTCGAATCGATGACCTTATTTCAGGGTTATGACATTATTGTGCCATGGGTAGGATATGCAACGAAAGTAACTGTATTCAAGGGACAAGATTCCATACGAGACTTGTCCCTTTCCACGTCACTTCAATTTGGTTATCGGGTCGCGATCGTTCCATGGGTCAAGCTTGATTCTATTGTAATTTAAGTTGACTACATTATTTTTCTACACATTAGATGTCGAACTTTCTGCGTACTTGCAGCTCTTTCAAAAATAACCACCATAGTTTCTAAATTTACAAAAACATCCCCATCAGAAGTTGGCTATACTTCTTGGAAGTTTCCTAAACTACCCCCATAACATTTTAAACTACACTTTCTAATTCGAGTCACAGATTCTTTAATTCATATATGAAAGCATCTTTAATATAATCTTTAAAAATAAAAATAGGAATTTTAGACTTTAAAAAGGGATCTAACGGATTCTACAGATCACAAACTTCTTTTAGCCTTCTATAAAGAATGAGTAGTGTTTGATGCCTGTATTTACTTTAATAAAAATATACTTCACGTGTTATGCTTCGTAACACTGAGAACAACTTTTAAATTGATATCTAGCAGTTGTTGCTAGATGACTTCGTTTTGTCACCCAAACTGAACTGCATAGTTATACAAGAACATGACGGTTTGGATACATAGTTTGATAAGAAATCAAAAGAGATTGAGTTTTTTCTATTATCATTATAATGATGGTTTTATTTACCGTTGTTTGTTTAGACTTTGGCTGTTTGAAATAATATTGTTCACCAAGGGGACATTTACCCAAATGTCACTTACTTTACCAGTAAGATTCTAGTCAATCAAAACGGCATCGCATGCAACAATTTGCCGGTAAACGCTAACTGGGGTAAGAGTCGTCACTCTCACTCACGGGGTAAGACTTTTGGTCCTTGTTATCGCATTTACTGAATAAGATTCTCGACTCTTATCATATTCATCTGGTAAAGTAAGTGACATAATAAACGCCTACCTAATAAGCGTTTGGTAGACACATGAAACATGAAACATGAAAGGCATAATTTTAAGACCCTGGAAATGACCAATTTACTTTTTTTTTTCATCAATTTGTAGATTTTTACTAGTTCAACCCCCAAGAAATAAAGTCATCCCTACACATCCAAAACTATTCGTTATATGTTTTAGCAACGATATTATTGGTGGTCCCTAACTTTTCATTTCCATAACATCTATAGTCCTTCACTTAACAATATTAGTTAGCAACCATTACGAAGGATTCATGGGTCTTTAAACAAACTTTATAGACCAAGTTACGTTATCTTACCCGGATGAGTACGGTAAGTATCAATAATGTTATCCGATAAGAGCGAGAGAATGACTGAGAGTCTTACCTGGTAAGTGAAGTGGACGATTCTAACCACGGGTCGCACTTAGTGGGTAAATTGTTGCATATGATGCCATTTTTGTTGACTAAAATCTTACTGGGTAAGTAAGTGATAATGTTAAATTTTACCCGTAAGCGTTTATCGGATTAGTGTTTGGTAAACGACCCCTTAATCTTTGTCTTAATATTTATGATTACAATCAATAACAACTATAGTTAATCATTCTTAAAGACACAAACTCTATAATATCTCTTTGTTTTATTACGTTTCAATATGTAGCTATTATATCTAGAGCTGTTCATGGACAAGACGACCCGTTAGACCCGGTCCATCTGGCCTGTTAGAAATACAGACTTGGACAACCAATATCGAGAAAATGGACGGACTCGAGTTTGTTCGTTAAAATTAACGAGAGGACATGGGCAATGTAAAAATAAATATGGACATGTCCACCGACCCGTTTATGTTTTATAATATTTTGTTACTATTAATAGTATATTTTAAAATTAAATTATTAAAGTTATAGGATGGGAGTTCAGACTCTTTGATTTTTCTTGAGAACCCAAAAAGCTTTATATATCTTTGTTAGTATCATTATGTCAAAAGTCCTAATCGATCAACAATGGATAAAGTCAGTAGTTGCTTAAAGTTTTAATTGTAACGATATTTTTTCTTTACTTTTTGGTTCAACATTTGTTAGTCAAGAGTTACATTTTGTAGGCCTGTTAGCCTGTAGGCAAACCCAGTCCATTTATAGGATGGGCCGGGTAATAACAAGTCGTCAAGCCCGAAAAAAGGGCTTGAGTTTACAATATTAAGCCCGTTAGAAGAAGAAAAAAACAAGTTAGACTCGACTCATGCCCGCAAATAATCACCTTTAATTATATCATAACAATAAACTTTAAAACATGATTCAAACCTACAACTACAGTCTTTTAATCAACACGATAACTTGATCAACTTTAATATAACGATCGTCGTTTCTTACAACATTTTTTAAACTCGGTGAAAATTGTTCGATAGATATTTTTCGTCGTCAAAAAAAATATTTAAATAAAAAAACATTAAAATTATGATAAAATAAATATAAAATGAGACGAGGATAATATTTTTGTCATGATTTCATAGTTAAAAAGATTTCAAGATGGGCATCATCATGTCCATACACCATCATCACAAATTCACATCAACACTGGAGAACCCAATAACATTATCAACCCTACAAATGGACACTTGTGTCCCTTTCTTCTTCCCTTTTCTAAATAAATCTATTTTA